TGTGTGTGTGTGTGTGTGTGTGTGTGTGTGTGTTTATATGTGTGTTTGCTATGCGATGAAAAGACTATCATCAAGTTCTATTATCATCTTTCCTAATCATTTTTATCTTCTCTTTTCGCTGTTTCTTTTCATATTTTCAAATTATTTAAAAAAAATAATTTTTCATTTTGGATGTTTAATGTTCATCAGTTAACTTTTGTTTACCTCTGAGCTATTAATTCATGCTCTGATAAGATTTGTAATCAGTTGTAGTTAGCGACAGTTCTATTTCTTTCGGATCTAAAACAATCTTTTAATATCGGCCTTGTTCAAGAAGAGAGCAATAAAGCATTCTTTTGTATGTTATTGTCTTTTTTGAAGGTATTAATGGCCCTGCTAAAGTTTACTCTCAGAATTTCATTCTTATTGTCTACTTCAATTTTGCATCTTCTTTAATTTTTCGTACATTCGGTGCAACTTCCTACAATTTTGTTTTTTGGTTAGGCAAGAGTGATAGTCGAATAATTCACTTCAGCGGTAATTATGGCGGAAGATACCATAAAAGTAATAAAACAGATCATTACATCGCTGGAAAGACATCTTGACGCTCACAAAGGTTGGCATTTATAATATTGCGATGTCTTTATGTACACTTTAAATCAAGTCGGATTGTTTTTTTGAGCTCGCCAAAGAGCTTAAAGCTTTTTGAAATTTCATATTGTTGCTAAGTGACTTTTTTTCTTAAAATATTTCACTCTCCAACAATGAAATGAGGCAATCTGCGTGAACATTTTATGATTTCATTGATTCTAATACTGTCCAGTTACTTTGGCAGCTTACTTGTCTAATCAGTTATCAAGGAAACCAAATGGAAAAAAAAAAATTAAAAGATTATTTGCAGAGACAATGGAAAAGATTCTGTCCAAACAAAATGAACTACAAAGCGGTTGAATAAAGCGGAAGAACAAGCACTTGAAATAATTGATCTAAAAAGAGAATATGAAATGGTAGTTGCGAAAAACGGACTTTTGAAACGGGAACTGGAACAATACAGGATATGATATATATATTGGTTCCATTTGGTTATCGTACTTTTTACAAAATTTTCTCTTCTCTTATCAACTCTTGTAATTTTTGCTTAGTCAATAGATCTTGAATTATTTCAAAAAAAATTCACAATTAAAATTAATTTTGTATGAAGAGAAGATCTGAAGATTTCATTTGAATTTATTGCCTTGACCGATAAATATTTTCATTTTTTATATTTTTTTTCTATGTTTTCCATATTTTGATACTGAATTTTTTATCACTGTATTTTATACAACATTTTATTGTGTTCTAATTGATTATAGCAATATTGGACATGGACAGTAGTGAGTTTGAGGTCCAGGTAGTCCAGGCACGCCTCGCTGAAATTTTCCATTTCTTAGAAAATATAAGAAATGTGATAGTACAAAACGAGAACTTCATAAAGCTCTAAGCGTTTTATCTAGCTTAAATTTTTTCAACGATAGTCTAAAAAAACTTGCTACGTTTTTCATTTTACATAGAAAAACTTACTCTTCCTGGTGAACCTGGTACGCCGACTTTCCCGGGTGGACCTTCCGGTCCAGGAGATCCAATTTTACCTTGAATTCCAGGAAAGCCATTTTTTCCATTCCGTCCCTGCTTTCCAGGTTTGCCGCGTTCACCAGTCGTACCCTTATCACCAGGTACTGAAACGTACCTTATATTGCTTTTTCCCGGTGGGCCATCAGGTCCCGGTTGACCTTGATTACCTGAAAATTTACTTTAATTTTTCATCTCTTGCACATTTACATTTCACACATTGCTGTTTTAAAATATGAGTTTACCTGGTTCGCCGACATCACCAGGTGGACCTGGCTTTCCCGGTGTTCCATCTCTGCCTTGCACTCCAACAACTCCAGGTTTTCCTGGTGAACCAATTTTACCTGGCTCACCATTGGGACCTCGTGGTCCACTCGGCCCAGCTGGGCACTGAATACAGCCTGATTCTGGTAAATCTAGAACAGCGATGATGCCAGCAATACCTGGTAGCCCCGGTTTACCTGGTTCACCCGCTTCTGCAATGGGACTGATAAATATTGCATATAAATTAGTGGAATTGGCATATTTGCAAAAATAATTCTGATCAATACAGAGATAAAATATTCTGCCTTTAATAACAAAGTCAACCTCCTGGTTCTCCTTTTTCGCCTTGTGGACCTTGTTTACCGGATGGACATCTGTTAGGGCTTCGACCACATTCTGAAATTCCAGTGTGGAATTAACCATTTTTATGATCAATTAATTCAATGACCATAATTGAATTTGTCGATCAAGCCTTTTATTTCTGACTGCACTGCACAATAAATGCGTTGTCTCAGAAATTTCGATTTTACCACATTGTTGAGCAGGAAAAGATCTTTTTGTCTTCAGACTATGACGCAGCAATAATTGATGAATTGATCGGGTTTTGTCGCTTTTATGTACCTTTTGCGCCCGCAACTGCACCATTCCATTCCATGCATTCTCGTTAATAATCTTCAAGTTTGGCAACATTTTTTTTATCATTTGCATATATTCCAATCTTCATTTTTCACTTTTCTTAAAAGTATTCAAAATGTTAAGAGCATTATTTAGGCACTTTATGCACAATAAAACATTTAATTCTGCATAAATTTTCCATCGAATATGAAAGCTTCACTGAAAGTTTATTGTATCAGTTAAGAACTTCATTCAAAATTAAAAGAATTTAAGTTTGAAATTATCATAGTAACTTTTGATAATCATCTTTGTAATTATAAAATTTAACAAAAAAAAATATAGAACAGAATTGAACTACCTTGATTTCTTGCGTATCGCTCATAATTTCATCATACAGTGAGTTCAAATCACTGACCAAATGGGTCACAGCAATAATGCACGTCAGTACAACTATTACGGAAACAGTGCTTGCTATACTGACGTTTGTGAGAAGGCCCATATTCCAGCTGAACGAATTTCTCCCTTGCAATATAATCTACCGGAAATAAGGCTTTGAAAGTACTCGAAAGCATATAATCCCTTTTTTCTGACTTAAATTTGAGCGTTACGTATAGCACGTACTGCAAATCCTTTAGCATAATCACTTTTATGATTTGTATTAAGTATTACGTACAACACGCATATTTTATAAATATTTAAAACCGTATTTGGAAATAAATCGAAATTTTTGAAAAATTCACTTAAAGATTTAAAACTTCAAAATGTTTTTAAAGTTTGGACTTTTAAAATGACATAAATACAGCAGAAAAAAAATTCATTTATTTCAATCCTGAAAAGCTAAAATCAGAAATTTTGAAATTATTTTAGCAATCGCATCTTTTAGGAAGAATCAGTACAGCAATACATGAAGCCATCAACCAATAATGACTCAAACCGGATAAACAGTAGGTCAACAAAATTTTTTTCTGATGGACAAAAAAATTTAGAATTTAATGTCAATAGTCATTTCGATAAGGATCAGAGAGGGATAAGTGGTGATGAATGGTTGGTATCATGTTGAATAACTTGTTTTCGCACGATAATATCACCTATCTATCACTCAACATTCCCTTTGTCGGTCTTTTTTAGGAGGGTTGTTTGCATGCTGAATGAGCGAAGAAAAACTTTTTGGATACCAATCAGTTTATGCATAAACCGGTAAACAATGACCCAGTTTTCATGATTTATTTGATTGGATGAATGGTGTTGTGAAAGTGTTGTAGATTGATTGGTGTTGATTTACAGATAAATTATTGTTAAGATTTATTTTACAGTTGGGAATTATATCCGAATAATTCAACAGACGAAATGGAACGGATAGCAGCATATATAATGATAATTGCTAGGCGAATAAGCGTATGAATGTTGAAAGATGTGAAAGAATGCGAAAGGAGTCCGATCGAGCATTTCACTGTTTATGTACCCAATATTGGACCGTATCAGAATAATACATAATGGGGAGAGAGAGTTTATGACTACGTGTTGGCTGTATTCTTCTCACGTAAGAGACAGGCCTGGTAAAGCTATCTCAATGATATTATAGCAACACAGAGAGGTCGTGTTACAAATTTCAATAAAGACAAAATTTTTGTGAAGCGCAGCTTCTCGGCCTAACCCTCATTCTCAGTCCATGTGATGAATAATTTTATC